CACTCCGCTCACTTCGCTCGGTCGCTCCGCTTCCCTCGCTACGTTCGCTCCGTTACGCTCGCAGGCATCAGCCTGCCCTTTTCCTTTGTCAATATATGAGCCATACCAACACCGATAATTTTATTGTGAAAAATATCAAGCCATAGCAACACAGTCCATTCATCTGGTGTTGAGGACATTGCTTTTCTTTGGATAATGCAATTATTTATTATCTACCTGCCTTGTGAATATGAAAAAAAATAATAATAATAATAAATTTAATTTTTCTTGATAAAATTATTATTATTATTATTATAATTATTATTATTATTAATTGAACTCAATAGTTTTACACCACGTTTCAAGTTAAGATGAGCACTTATGTATAGTATTTTTTCCAATCCATAAATAAACTCATTTTCAGTTAATAAATTGAGCTACGCGTACAACCGTTTTCATTGTCGTGAGACAGGTATCTTTGTACACAAATAAGTTAGCTTGTAGTTTATTAGTTAATTTATAAACTCCCTGTATTCAAATAAATTTTGTTTGGTATGACGAACTTTGTTAAAAAGCTCGAGCGAGCTTGTTTAATAAGTTATTTTAGGTAACTTTAGAAATAAGCTTTTTGAAATTTTATTTCAGCTAGCTTATCAGCTAATTTTATTAAACTTTTTTATTATATAAGCTAGTTTTTCAGCTATAAGTGATAAGTTATAAACTCAAAAATTACTAATAAACTAGCAACTATCTTATCAGCTAATTTTACCAAACATAGTTTTTATAGTGTAATAAAGAGATTTTTCTACCACAAAACGCATAAATGATTGGATAATTGAAAGCGCTGTACTTTAATAAAATTTTGCATCGAATTACCATATCTTAATTTCATTCAAGATATACTAGCTCTATAATTAGTAATAAATAATAGCTTTATAATTAGTAATAAATAACTAAGTAATTAACATTATAATATTTACTCATTATAATTTTGATAGATAGAAATTTATAGAGAATAAACATTTGTCTATATTATAGCTAAATTTACAGAAGTAGATATTAATAAATAGCATGCTCAAATTTGTTGTCTATTTTCGGTTAGCAAATGAATAAAGATTAATTAAATGATGCTATAATTCTCAAATTCACACATTCATTTTAAACTTGCTTGATTTTCTACTGACTAGTTGGGCATGAAGCTGACTACTTGTTTAATACTATAGAAACAATTCTCCTTGGAAGTTTTAACAGTTAAA